GCGTGTAATAATAATAGTAAAAGGCATGTAATAATAGTAGAAGGCGTGTAATAATAATAGTAGAAAGCGTGTAATAATAGTAAAAGGCGTGTAATAATAATAGTAAAAGGCGTGTAATAATAATAGTAAAAGGTTTAATAATAATAGTAGAAGGCGTGTAATAATAATAGTAAAATGTGTGTAATAATAATAGTAAAAGGTGTGTAATAATAATAGTAAAAGGCGTGTAATAATAATAGTAAAAGGCGTGTAATAATAATAGTAAAAGGCGTGTAATAATAATAGTAAAAGGCGTGTAATAATAGTAGAAGGCGTGTAATAATAGTAAAAGGCGTGTAATAATAATAGTAAAAAGCGTGTAATAATAATAGTAAAAGGCGTGTAATAATAATAGTAAAAAGCGTGTAATAATAGCAAAAGCGTGTAATAATAGTAAAAGACGTGTAATAATAATAGTAAAAAGCGTGTAATAATAATAAAGCGTGTAATAATAATAGTAAAAAGCGTGTAATAATAATAGTAAAAAGCGTGTAATAATAATAGTAAAAGGCGTGTAATAATAATAGTAAAAGACGTGTGATAATAATAGTAAAAGGCGTGTAATAATAATAGTAAAAGGCGTGTAATAATAATAGTAAAAGGCGTGTAATAATAATAGTAAAAGGCGTGTAATAATAATAGTAAAAGACGTGTAATAATAATAGTAAAAGGCGTGTAATAATAATAGTAAAAGGCGTGTAATAATAATAGTAAAAGGCGTGTAATAATAATAGTAAAAGACGTGTAATAATAATAGTAAAAAGCGTGTAATAATAATAAAGCGTGTAATAATAATAGTAAAAAGCGTGTAATAATAATAGTTAAAAGCGTGTAATAATAGTAAAAGACGTGTAATAATAATAGTAAAAGGCGTGTAATAATAATAGTAAAAGGCGTGTAATAATAATAGTAAAAGACGTGTAATAATAATAGTAAAAGGCGTGTAATAATAATAGTAAAAGACGTGTAATAATAATAGTAAAAGGCGTGTAATAATAATAGTAAAAGACGTGTAATAATAATAGTAGAAGGCGTGTAATAATAATAGTAAAAGGCGTGTAATAATAATAGTAAAAGGCGTGTAATAATAGTAAAAGGCGTGTAATAATAATAGTAAAAGGCATGTAATAATAGTAGAAGGCGTGTAATAATAATAGTAGAAAGCGTGTAATAATAGTAAAAGGCGTGTAATAATAATAGTAAAAGGCGTGTAATAATAATAGTAAAAGGTTTAATAATAATAGTAGAAGGCGTGTAATAATAATAGTAAAATGTGTGTAATAATAATAGTAAAAGGTGTGTAATAATAATAGTAAAAGGCGTGTAATAATAATAGTAAAAGGCGTGTAATAATAATAGTAAAAGGCGTGTAATAATAATAGTAAAAGGCGTGTAATAATAGTAGAAGGCGTGTAATAATAGTAAAAGGCGTGTAATAATAATAGTAAAAAGCGTGTAATAATAATAGTAAAAGGCGTGTAATAATAATAGTAAAAAGCGTGTAATAATAGCAAAAGCGTGTAATAATAGTAAAAGACGTGTAATAATAGTAAAAAGCGTGTAATAATAATAAAGCGTGTAATAATAATAGTAAAAAGCGTGTAATAATAGTAAAAAGCGTGTAATAATAATAGTAAAAGGCGTGTAATAATAATAGTAAAAGACGTGTAATAATAATAGTAAAAGGCGTGTAATAATAATAGTAAAAGGCGTGTAATAATAATAGTAAAAGGCGTGTAATAATAATAGTAAAAGGCGTGTAATAATAATAGTAAAAGACGTGTAATAATAATAGTAAAAGGCGTGTAATAATAATAGTAAAAGGCGTGTAATAATAATAGTAAAAGGCGTGTAATAATAATAGTAAAAGACGTGTAATAATAATAGTAAAAAGCGTGTAATAATAATAAAGCGTGTAATAATAATAGTAAAAAGCGTGTAATAATAATAGTAAAAAGCGTGTAATAATAGTAAAAGACGTGTAATAATAATAGTAAAAGGCGTGTAATAATAATAGTAAAAGGCGTGTAATAATAATAGTAAAAGACGTGTAATAATAATAGTAAAAGGCGTGTAATAATAATAGTAAAAGACGTGTAATAATAATAGTAAAAGGCGTGTAATAATAATAGTAAAAGACGTGTAATAATAATAGTAAAAGGCGTGTAATAATAATAGTAAAAGGCGTGTAATAATAATAGTAAAAGACGTGTAATAATAATAGTAAAAGGCGTGTAATAATAATAGTAAAAAGCGTGTAATAATAGTAAAAGACGTGTAATAATAGTAAAAGGCGTGTAATAATAATAGTAAAAGGCGTGTAATAATAATAGTAAAAGGCGTGTAATAATAATAGTAAAAGGCGTGTAATAATAATAGTAAAAGGCGTGTAATAATAATAGTAAAAAGCGTGTAATAATAATAGTAAAAAGCGTGTAATAATAGTAAAAGACGTGTAATAATAATAGTAAAAGGCGTGTAATAATAATAGTAAAAGGCGTGTAATAATAATAGTAAAAGGCGTGTAATAATAATAGTAAAAGGCGTGTAATAATAATAGTAAAAGGCGTGTAATAATAATAGTAAAAAGCGTGTAATAATAATAGTAAAAAGCGTGTAATAATAGTAAAAGACGTGTAATAATAATAGTAAAAGGCGTGTAATAATAATAGTAAAAGGCGTGTAATAATAATAGTAAAAGACGTGTAATAATAATAGTAAAAGGCGTGTAATAATAATAGTAAAAGACGTGTAATAATAATAGTAAAAGGCGTGTAATAATAATAACAACCTAAAACACGGTAGGACCAACACCTCGGCCGTGGCAGATCACTGCGAGTAGGCTCACAAGACAGAGGTTCTTTGCAAGCCATCTGGCTACCATGAGAGATTCGTTCATGAGGCTATCCACATATACAAGCACAGAGACAATTTCAACCGAGAAGATGGATTCTGGCTTAGAAATCATTGGAAGGATTTGATAAACCATTTCGGGTCTTAATTGATTGTTCACGCTTACGGTGGCTTTCAGACCGCATCCATTATTTTCGTCTCCCCCTCCTCTTTCCCGAACATAGATGGACTCGTCCATCTGAACAAACTGTCAAATCGCTCTCCGTGGTGCTAACGTTAAAAAATAACCCGCCACTTTTTTCAAATTTTCTTGCTGTGGTTTTCACACCTGATGATGATTGCTTGTGTTGCAGTCGAAACGTCGTGAGAATTGTATTGTTTAATATTATTATTTTATTGTTTCCCTTCTACGTGGCTTTACCGAAAGAACCAATAATATAAAATAAAAATTAGTTTAGTTTTCCCTCCGCATTGAGAATCAACGTGCGTTCAGATGAATTGCCTGTTGCTATAACTCCCCACACTATGGTGATGACAATCCACACTTCGTTGAGCGATCATCTATGAGAGTCAGGTTATTTCTTAAATGAACGGCATGGCTCAGTGGGGCCTTACCTGGGGAAATAAACTGTTTAAAATCGTTTTTAATTTTAGTTTGGTAAAGTTAAAAAAATGTTGCACTTTGAGGATGAAAGACTAAATTAATCTTTGTAAAATAATGGGGAAAACGTATTCAAATATTTGCATTCTTTGAGCTGTCGTCAAACCAGCGACCTCAGGATCCCCGCATCTCCTGGGAAAAAAAGTGTTCGTTCTCGTTCGTTCGTTTCTCAGTCCGCTCGCCATGGTCAGGGTCGTGGCGGGCACGTGTTCAGTGCTGGAGGTTCACAACCTCCCTTTCCCATGGCGACAGACCACAGCTCTTCCCTGGGCCATAGTTTAGTTTTCGTTCGGTAATATAAAAATAGCAATGATTAAATTTTTTTTACTTGGAGGAAGAAAGAATACAAATACATTGTCTTTTAGAAAATTTTAAAAGATAAATAATTGTTATAAAAAAATTACGCATCCTTCGAGCCGGAGTCGAACCAGCGACCTAAGGATCTCGGCACTTCCTCTACAGTCCTCCGCTCTACCAACTGAGCTATCGAAGGCGCCACGAGTGTTGCCGCCCAGCACGCCTACTTAAAGCCAACCATACTCGATGTCACCACTTACAGGCCTTGCCGTCGTCGATTTACATTTTTAATGTGTGTTAATTGCGATCGTTAACGAACAGAGTCTTTGTTCGCTGGCGTTGTTGAACAGCCACCCGTACAACCCCATCGGCCTTTAATCTCCCCAAAGAGCCGTGCTGATGGGCGGCTTCGCGCCACGTCATAACCGCCGCGCCAGTGGCGACTCGCCCGCCATCTTAGTGAAGGACACGCGGGGGAGTGGAGACGACAGAGGGGGGGGCGACAGGAGGAGGGGAGGGCGAGGGGGGATAGAGGGGGTGGGGCCGCGTCGCCCCCTCCACCACGAGATGACGCCACCCCCCCTCTCGCCCCCCCAACCCCCCCCCCCCTCGAGGGCTTCCCCCTTCCCAAGATGTCCGCGCGAGCCTCGGGTCCAAAAAATTTTACGAAATCGCAGAGCCGGCGCCGCGTGGTCACTCCTCGGTGTCGGTGTGTGGCCCGGGTCGGTCGGCGTGTCCCCTCTCTCCCCTCTCTCCCCTCTCGCCTCCCTTCTCCTGACCCCCTTCCAGCGACCCCCCTAGGAGAGGACCCCCTTAGAGGACCCCCTAGAGAACCTCCCTAGACGATCCCCCCTAAGGAGGACCCCCTAGTAGATAACCCCCCTAGACAATCCCCCCAGAGGACCCCACACTAGAGGACCCCCGAGACGATCCCCCTGTAGTAGAGGACCCCCTCGTAGAGGAACCTCTCAGAGGACTCCCTCGAGAACCCCCCTAGAGAGGACCCCTCCCCATCATAAACCTTAGCGGAGACTCCCACTCGCCCTGCTCCCGCTATCTCGGTAGTTTGGATAATCCGATCCCTCCGCCGCCTCTCCAACTCCATCACAACCCCCGAACCCCCTCCACCCCCCCACCGAAGCTGATCCCCATGCCGACCCAGGGCAGCACCAGCAGCAGCAGCAGCGGTCTCTTCTACGGCTGCTATAGCTCCAGCGAGTTCCTGTCTCGCAAGCCGCCACCATCGGCCGCCGCCGAACCGGCCGCCTGGGCCTCGCGCGTCGCTCTGCTGCTGTCCGCCAGCAGCGCAGCTCACAAGAAGAAGAAGAATAATAATAAGAAGAAGAAGTCCGGCGGCCACAGCTCCAAGATGCGGCGCATCGTGGGCCGGAGGAGACAGCTGGAGACGGAGAGACAGCAGCTGCAGCAACAGCAGCAACAGCTGCTGCTGATGCGTGCCGGTGGTGATGGTGGTCGTGATGGTGACGGTGGCGAGAGGATCCAGACGGACAGTGGAGGTAGCGGTGGTGGTAACGGTGGTGGTGGTAGCGGTGGTGGTAACGGTGGTGGTGGCGAGAGGATCCAGACGGACAGTGGAGGTAGTGGTGGTGGTGGCGAGAGAATCCAGACGGACAGTGGAGGTAGTGGTGGTGGTGGCGGTGGTGGTGGTGGTAGCGGTGGAGGTAGTGGTAACGGTGACGGTGGCGAGAGAATCCAGACGGACAGTGGAGGTAGTGGTGGAGGTGGTAGCGGTGGTGGCGGTGGTAGCGGTGGTGGTGGTGACGGTAGCGGTGGTGGTGGTGTTGGTGGCGGCCTTGAGAGCTCCTGGAGCGAGGAGGGCGACCTGGAGAGCCGGGAGGCCGGGCCAGACGCGGCCCGGACGGGGCCTCGGGCACTCACGGCCTTCGCTCAGGGCCGACCGCGACTCGACGGCGAGCGCCGTCGGCCCCGCGGCGGCCGTGGCACCGACAGCTCCCCAGCCCGTGCCGACGACTCCCGAGGCCCTCGCCGTGACCACCACGAGGAGCGCCGGGCCAAGGCGGGGGCAGCGGAGAGGTCATGGGGCCTCGACCCGAGTCCCGGAACGTCGAGCCGACGCGGCAGGGTTCGCTCCAAGCGCAAGGCCCACGTGGTGGGGTCGTCCAGTCGCCTGGCCGAGCACCACTCTGGATTCCCAATGGCCAGCACCAATACCACCGCCAATATCACCACCGCCACCACCACCAATAACACCACCAATAACACCGCCACCGCCAATATCACCACCACCGCCACCACCACCTCCACCGCCACCACCACCACCACCAATATCAACACCACCGCCACCACCACCAATAACACCACCAATAACACCGCCACCGCCAATATCACCACCACCAATAACACCACCACCGCCACCACCAATATCACCACCACCGCCACCACCACCAATATCACCACCACCGCCACAAACGAACTCGAACAGCCACAACAAGGTCCCTCGGCTGTTGCAGGAAGGTCGGCAGATCCCACGACCACCACCAACAACAACAGCAATGTTATTATTGACGATAACCTCCCCCGAGCAGCAGTGCGCGCCGCGTGCCCTCTGGCCGTGCCACCGCCACCGCCCCCCCACAAGCTGGTGGCCGTGGACTGCGAGATGGTGGGCCTGGGTCCCGGCGGCTGTCGGGGCGCGCTGGCTCGCTGCAGCGTGGTGGACTACTACGGCTCGGTGCTCTACGATAGCTACGTGCGCCCCGAGGAGCCCGTCACGGACTACAGGACGAGGTGGAGCGGCATCCGGCCGAGCCACATGCGGGAAGCCACTCCGTTTCGGGCGGCACAAAGAGAGGTGATTTTTGTTTTGTTTTGACATGATGTATGTGTTATTGGTTTAGTGTTTTACGCGACCACCCACCCTCTTAAGAACACGTTGGTCAGCCAGTTCGCTACCTCTGGCCAGGTCGCTTCTGAAAATAAAGAAGATCGATACGGGCTTTCGAACACAATTCTTTCCTGAAACCCGTTCGTAAGTCGGGGACGCAATGTACTAGTCCTCGCGTTTCCGAAAACAATTCGTCCCGGAGACTCGTTCGTAAGTCGAACACGTTCGTAAGTCGGGAACGCAATATGATAGTCTTCGGGTTCTGAACACAATTCGTGCTGATCCGTTCGGAAGTCGGATCAGGTTCGTAAGTTGGGAGCTCAATAGGGTGGATCTTCGGTGACGAACACAATTCGTTCCTGAGACCCGTCAATGGAACAGGTTCGTAAGTCGGGAACACTGTGGGCAGTCCTAGGGTTCTGAACACAATGCGTTCCTGACGAGCCCGTTCGTAAATCGAAACACAGTAATGCACCGTATTTGACGGTCGGTGTTGTGAAATGTGTTGCGATTCACCCGCAACAAAAAGTAGAGCTTTGTTGAACTCATAATTGAGAAGAGATATTGTTGATTTGCATGTAACATGTTTTGAGTCAATGTTATTTTTGTTATATGTCACGGAAAGCTGGCTCGTACGTACAGGGTGCTCGTATGTCCAAGGCGCTCATAAGTCGAAGACTCTCGAGGTACTATCATAGGGCAGTCTTCGGCTTACGAACACAATTCGTTCCTGAAAACTGTTCGTAAGTGGGACGGGTTCGTAAGGCAGGAAGACAATAGTGCACTGTGTTTAAATGCCCATGCGGTCGGTGTTGTGAAACATGTTGTGGTTCAACAACAAAAAGGAAAGCATTGTTGAACTCATCATTGATAAGAAATAGTGTACGTTTGCACGTGACACGTTTTGAGTCAACATTCTGTTTTTTCAACATTTTATTGGAGCTGGTTCATACGTACGGGGTGTTCGTAAATACGGAGTGTTCGTAAGTCGAGGACTAGAATACAGGGTTATGGGCCGAATTAGTTCCTGGTTCGCACGTACGGGAGGGTCGTAAGTACGGAGTGTTCGTAAGTCGAGGACTATAATACAGGGTTATGAACCGAATTAGTTCCTGAGACCCATTCGTTAGTCAGGATTACAATCATGTGCTCTTTAAATGCCCATACGGTCAGTGTTATGAAATATCTTCTTTGGTTCTTTCGGTAAAGTCACGTAGAATGACAATAAAATAATAAATTGATAAAATAACACAATAATATTCTCACGACGTTTTGGCCACAACACAAGCGGCCTTCATCAGGTGAAGGGGCGAGACTGTCTGGTAGGACAGCGCTGGAGTGAGAGAGCCACGTTCAGATCACGGCTTTTAAGCTGTGAGAGGTGCTGAAATTTGAGGGCTCTTTGTTCCTCTCACACAGCTTAAAAGCCGTGATCTGAACGTGGCTCTCTCACTCCAGCGCTGTCCTACCAGACAGTCTCGCCCCTTCACCTGATGAAGGCCGCTTGTGTTGTGGCCGAAACGTCGTGAGAATATTATTGTGTTATTTTATTTTATCAATTTATTATTTTATTCTCATTCTACGTGACTTTACCGAAAGAACCAAAGAAGATGAATCATTGCAGTCACGAAAGCTTTAAATTGTTATGAAATAGTTTGTGGGGTGTTCGTAAGTGGATGCCTGCCCATATTATAATACAGGAGGCGTTTTAAGGTGTTCAACCTCCAAATTAGACACCCATTATCACAAGGTTCATAATAAAGGCTTGTTTGCTTTTTGAGGGGGGACGGGGGCGTGTTAGGTCGCTTCATTATAAATGTGTTGTTAACCCACCACCACCTAACACAGCCAATTAGTGAGGTTTGTCTCGTAAACAAAATGAGCCAGTTTAGTTTCGGCTTCTGCACGCCCGCGGACTCCGTTTTGAGCGGCCCAGAGAGAGGTGATTTTATTACTTTGCTCTCTCCCCCTGGCCAGGTCGCTTCTGAATATAAGAGCGATATAGCTTAGTGGGGCTTAACCTAGTAAAAATAAATAAATACAGGGACCCTTCTACTTAGGAACATTCGACTTACGAACTTTCAAAGATACGAACAAACCTGTCCGTACGTCCAGTTGCCTGTTTGGACCGAGAGTCGTACGTTCAACCAACCAGGCAATAGATGGAGGTAGTGGCGTCCTCATTTGTAGAACGTGAAGAACCATTGGCATCTACGTCTGCAGAACATGCTGAACCAATGGCATCTACAACTACAGGAGATTATTTAACTTTTAATGCCATTTGCCATGTTTAGTGTACACACCGTACAACGTGTTTGGAATCGACTGGAGTAAAGTTGGACTTGCAAACAAATCTACTTACGAACAGACCTCTGGAACCTAGCTTGTTCGTAATTAGAGGAATCCCTCTAGTTTCACTAGTTGAGTTTATTTGTTTTAACTCGTGACTATGGACGTTCGCCATCGCAAAATGCAGTGATTCATTATTCTTAATTCGTTAGAATTTGTTGTAATAATTAATATTTGTAATATAGCGTCGTTCGTGCACAAAACTGCATCTGAACTACAAACTATTTTTTTGTATTTTACCAGATAAGGTCCACTGAGTTACGTAACTCTTTTTCAGAAGCGAACTGGCCATCATAAATGATAGCCCAATGAAGCGGCTAATGTGCACATTTATAGCAGCCAAATACTCTAAACGGATGTTGATTCTAAATGCGGAGGGAAAAACTGGAGGACCCTGGAGAAATATCCACGCGACCATGGGGAGAGAGAGAAATGCAAACTCGGGTCGGGATCTAATCCACGACATCCTGTATACCACGCGAGGTAGTTAACATCTCGCCAACCTGGCACCCCAACATACTTTATACATGTTTTTAAAACTTATTTCGCACCGTACGTAGCCATCCGTGCTAATCAGAGGTGCTGGTGGTGCAGCGTTTTATCTGCGTAAACATTTTAACTCCCTCGCCTGATATGGAGGAGGTCGTGGTTTTGATCCCCCCTGCTGTATATGTTGGAGTTTGCGTGTCTCTCTCTCCCCGTGGTCGTGTGGATTTTTCGCCGGTGGTCCTCCGGTTTTAACCTCCATTTAGAATCGACATTACACCTTCAGAGCATTTGCCTGCTATAAATGTCCACGTGATGATGATGATAATGAGCCACTTCGTTGAGCCATCATTTGTGATGGCCGGGATCGCCTCTGAAAAAGAACTGCATAGCAGCTCAGCGGGGACATTATGGTGGTGAAATAAAACAAAATAGTTAAGTTGAGTAAACCGGTGGTGGAGGGTTTTTACGACGACGAGCAGTTTTTGGCCTTGCCCAAAAAATAATAATCACAAGCGTGGATCCCGTTCGGGCTGTCACGCGCGTGTTCCACCATCCTGTACCACCACCCTCCTGTACCACCACCCTCCTGCTGCTGTACCACCACCCTCCCCCTGTACCACCACCACCACCCTCCTGTACCACCACCACCCTCCTGTACCACCACCACCCTCCTGTACCACCACCACCCTCCTGTACCACCACCCTTCTCCTGTACCACCACCACCCTCCTTTACCACCACCACCCTCCTGTACCACCACCACCCTCCTGTACCACCACCACCCTCCTGTACCACCACCACCCTCCTGTATCACCACCCTCCTGTACCACCACCCTCCTGTACCACCACCACCCTCCTGTACCACCACCACCACCCTCCTGTACCACCACCACCACCCTCCTGTACCACCACCACCCTCCTGTACCACCACCACCCTCCTGTACCACCACCACCACCCTCCCCCTGTACCACGCAGATTGTGCAACTGCTGCACAACAAGGTGGTGGTGGGCCACTCGATCGCCAACGACTTCCGCGCCCTGGGCTACGTGCACCCGACGGAGCGCACGCGCGACACCGCCTCACTGGTGGAGCTACGGCGTCGGGCGGGCCTGCCGCTCGCCCAGCCCGCCTCGCTCAAGCGCCTCACCAAGCTGCTGCTCTACCGCGACATCCAGGCACGGACGCTCGCCCACGTGCTCGCCCGCCCGCTCGCTCGCCCACGCGCGCGCTCGCCCATCCGCTCACTCACTCATCAGTTTGCTCACTCATCCACTTGCTCACTCGCTCACTCATCCACGTGCTCACACGCTCACTCATTCACTTGCTCACCCGCTCACTCATCCGCTTGCTCACTCATCCACTTGCTCACTCATCCGCTTGCTCACTCGCTCACTCATCCACTTGCTCACACGCTCACTCATCCACTCGCTCACTCATCCACTTGCTCACTCGCTCACTCATCTGCTTGCTCACTCATCCACTCGCTCACTCATCCACGTGCTCACTCGCTCAATCATCCACTTGCTCACACGCTCATTCATCCGCTTGCTCACTCGCTCACTCATCCGCTTGCTCACTCATCCACTCGCTCACTCATCCACGTGCTCACTCGCTCACTCATCCACTTGCTCACACGCTCATTCATCCGCTTGCTCACTCGCTCACTCATCCGCTTGCTCACTCATCCACTCGCTCACTCATCCGCTTGCTCACTCATCCACTCGCTCACTCATCCACGTGCTCACTCGCTCATTCATCCGCTTGCTCACCCATCCGCTTGCTCGCTCGCTCACTCATCCGCTTGCTCACTCATCCACTTGCTCACTCACTCATCCGCTTGCTCACTCGCTCACTCATCCACTTGCTCACTCGCTCACCCATCCGCTTGCTCACTCATCCACTTGCTCGCTCGCTCACTCATCCGCTTGCTCACTCGCTCACTCATCCACTTGCTCACTCGCTCACCCATCCGCTTGCTCACTCGCTCACTCATCCACTCGCTCACTCTTCCACTTGCTCACTCGCTCACTCATCCACTCGCTCACTCATCCACTTGCTCACTCGCTCACTCATCCGCTTGCTCACTCGCTCACTCATCCGCTTGCTCACTCGCTCACTCATCCACTCGCTCACTCATCCACTTGCTCATTCGCTCACTTATCCGCTTGCTCACTCATCCACTTGCTCACTCGCTCACTCATCCGCTTGCTCACTCGCTCACTCATCCACTCGCTCACTCATCCGCTTGCTCACTCGCTCACTCATCCGCTTGCTCACTCGCTCACTCATCCACTTGCTCACTCATCCACTTGCTCATTCACTCACTTATCTGCTTGCTCACTCATCCACTTGCTCACTCGCTCACTCATCCGCTTGCTCACTCGCTCACTCATCCACTCGCTCACTCATCCACTTGCTCATTCGCTCACTTATCCGCTTGCTCACTCATCCGCTTGCTCACTCGTCCGCTTGCTCACTCATCCACTTGCTCTCTCGCTCACTCATCCGCTTGCTCACACGCTCACTCATCCACTTGCTCACTCATCCGCTTGCTCTCTCGCTCACTCATCCGCTTGCTCACACGCTCACTCATTCGCTTGCTCACTCATCCACTTGCTCACTCATCCACTTGCTCACTCGCTCACTCATCCGCTTGCTCACTTGCTCACTCATCCGCTTGCTCACTCATCCACTTGCTCACTCATCCACTTGCTCACTCGCTCACCCATCTGCTTGCTCACTCGCTCACTCATCCGCTTGCTCACTCGCTCACTCATGTGTTTGCTCACTCATCCGCTTGCTCAATCGCTCACTCATCCGTTTGCTCACTCATCCACTTGCTCACTCACTCATCCGCTTGCTCACTCGCTCACTCATCCACTTGCTCACTCGCTCACCCATCCGCTTGCTCACTCATCCACTTGCTCGCTCGCTCACTCATCCGCTTGCTCACTCGCTCACTCATCCACTTGCTCACTCGCTCACCCATCCGCTTGCTCACTCGCTCACTCATCCACTCGCTCACTCTTCCACTTGCTCACTCGCTCACTCATCCCATCGCTCACTCATCCACTTGCTCACTCGCTCACTCATCCGCTTGCTCACTCGCTCACTCATCCGCTTGCTCACTCGCTCACTCATCCACTCGCTCACTCATCCACTTGCTCATTCGCTCACTTATCCGCTTGCTCACTCATCCACTTGCTCACTCGCTCACTCATCCGCTTGCTCACTCCCTCACTCATCCACTCGCTCACTCATCCGCTTGCTCACTCGCTCACTCATCCGCTTGCTCACTCGCTCACTCATCCACTTGCTCACTCATCCACTTGCTCATTCACTCACTTATACGCTTGCTCACTCATCCACTTGCTCACTCGCTCACTCATCCGCTTGCTCACTCGCTCACTCATCCACTCGCTCACTCATCCACTTGCTCATTCGCTCACTTATCCGCTTGCTCACTCATCCGCTTGCTCACTCGCTCACTCGTCCGCTTGCTCACTCATCCACTTGCTCTCTCGCTCACTCATCCGCTTGCTCACACGCTCACTCATCCACTTGCTCACTCATCCGCTTGCTCTCTCGCTCACTCATCCGCTTGCTCACACGCTCACTCATTCGCTTGCTCACTCATCCACTTGCTCACTCATCCACTTGCTCACTCGCTCACTCATCCGCTTGCTCACTTGCTCACTCATCCGCTTGCTCACTCATCCACTTGCTCACTCATCCACTTGCTCACTCGCTCACCCATCTGCTTGCTCACTCGCTCACTCATCCGCTTGCTCACTCGCTCACTCATGTGTTTGCTCACTCATCCGCTTGCTCAATCGCTCACTCATCCGTTTGCTCACTCATCCACTTGCTCACTCATCCGCTTGCTCACTCGCTCACTCATTCGCTTGGTCACTCGCTCACTCATCCACTCGCTCACTCATCCACTTGCTCACTCGCTCACTCATCCGCTTGCTCACTCGCTCACTCATCCGCTTGCTCACTCGCTCACTCATGTGTTTTCTCACTCATCCACTTGCTTGCTCGCTCCTCTCCTTACTCACTCGCTCGCTCCTCCTCTCGCTCGCTCTCGCCTCCTCTCGCTCGCTCATCCACATGCTCGCTCCTCCGCTCCCTCATCCGCTTACTCGCTCGCTCCTCCACTTAGTCGCTTGCTCATCCACTTATTCGCTTGCTCCTCCGCTTGCTCGCTCATCGACTTGTATATTTGCTCGCTCACTCGCTCCTCCGCTCGCTCCCTCATCCGCTTGCTCGCTCGCTCCTCCTCTTACACGCTCGCTCATCCGCTTACTCGCTCACTCATCCACTTGTTGATTAGCTCGCTCATCCGCTTACTCGCTTGCTCCTCCACTTACTCGCTCATCCACTTGTTGATTAACTCGCTCATCTGCTTACTCACTTGCTCCTCCACTTACTCGCTCATCCACTTGTTGATTAACTCGCTCATCCGCTTACTCGCTTGCTCCTCCACTTACTCGCTCACTCATCCACTTGTTTATTAGCTCCCTCATCCGCTTACTCGCTCTCTCATCCTCTTGCTCGCTCTCTCATCCTCTTGCTCGCTCCTCCACTTACTCGCTCGCTCATCCACTTGTTGATTAGCTCACTCCTCCGCTTACTCGCTCTCTCATCCTCTTGCTCGCTCCTCCACTTACTCGCTCTCTCACCCTCTTGCTCGCTCTCTCATCCTCTTGCTCGCTCCTCCACTTGCTCACTCATCCACTTGTTGATTAGCTCACTCCTCCGCTTACTCGCTCTCTCATCCTCTTGCTCGCTCCTCCACTTACTCGCTCTCTCACCCTCTTGCTCGCTCTCTCATCCTCTTGCTCGCTCCTCCACTTGCTCACTCATCCACTTGTTGATTAGCTCGCTCCTCCACTTACTCGCTCTCTCATCCTCTTGCTCGCTCGATCATCCGTTTGCCTGCTCGATCATCCGCTTGCTCGCTCGCTCCTCCGCATGCTCGCTCGTTTATCCGCTCGCTCATCCGCTTGCTCGCTCGCTCATCCACTGGCTCGCTCGATCACCCGGCTAACGATCCACCGGCACTGCTTCTTCTCGCGACGCCGTCCACCCACGCAGCCGGTCGCTCGCTCATCTGCGGTCCACCTCACTCACTCACCTCACTCACTCACCTCACTCACCTCACTCACTCACCTCACTCACTCACCTCACTCACTCACCTCACTCACCTCACTCACTCACTCACCTCACTCACTCACCTCACTCACTCACCTCACTCACCTCACTCACTCACCTCACTCACTCACCTCACTCACTCACCTCACTCACTCACCTCACTCACTCACCTCACTCACCTCACTCACTCACTCACCTCACTCACTCACCTCACTCACTCACCTCACTCACCTCACTCACTCACCTCACTCACTCACCTCACTCACCTCACTCACTCACCTCACTCACTCACCTCACTCACTCACCTCACTCACTCACCTCACTCACCTCACTCACTCACTCACCTCACTCACTCACCTCACTCACCTCACTCACTCACTCACCTCACTCACTCACCTCACTCGCCTCACTCACTCACCTCACTCACTCACCTCACTCACTCACCTCACTCACCTCACTCACCTCGCTCACTCACCTCACTCACCTCACTCACTCACCTCACTCACCTCACTCACTCACCTCACTCACTCACCTCACTCACTCACCTCACTCACCTCACTCACTCACCTCACTCACCTCACTCACTCACCTCACTCACCTCACTCACTCACCTCACTCACCTCACTCACCTCACTCACTCACCTCACTCACTCACTCACCTCACTCACTCACCTCACTCACCTCATTCACTCACCTCACTCACTCACCTCACTCACCTCACTCACTCACCTCGCTCACCTCACTCACTCACTCACCTCACTCACTCACCTCACTCGCCTCACTCACTCACCTCACTCACTCACCTCACTCACCTCACTCACCTCACTCACTCACCTCACTCACCTCACTCACCTCGCTCACTCACCTCACTCACCTCGCTCACTCACCTCACCTCACTCACCTCACTCGCTCACCTCACTCACCTCACTCACCTCACTCACTCACCTCACTCACCTCGCTTACTCACCTCACTCACCTCACTCACCTCACTCGCTCACCTCACTCACCTCACTCGCTCACCTCACTCACCTCACTCACCTCACTCGCTCACCTCACTCACTCACCTCACTCACCTCACTCACTCACTCACCTCACTCGCTCACCTCACTCACCTCACTCACTCACCTCACTCACCTCACTCACCTACCTCACTCACCTCCCTCACCTCACTCACTCACCTCGCTCACTCACCTCACTCACTCACCTCACTCACCTCACTCGCTCACCTCACTCACCTCACTCGCCTACCTCACTCACCTCCCTCACCTCACTCACTCACCTCACTCACCTCACTCGCTCACCTCACTCGCTCACCTCACTCACTCACCTCACCTCACTCGCTCACCTCACTCACCTCACTCGCTCACCTCACTCGCTCACCTCACTCGCTCACCTCACTCGCTCACCTCACTCACCTCACTCACTCACCTCACTCACCTCACTCGCCATACTCGCTCACCTACTGTCCACCTCGCTCGCTCACATCGCTCGTTCGCCTGCAAACCAACCTAACCCACCTGTTCATCCACATACGCGTCCCAACCATCGCCACGCTCACTCACCGCTCGCCACCGCCGCTCGCCACTCACCACCGCCGCTCACCACCGCCGCTCACCACCGCCGCTCACCACCGCCGCTCACCACCGCCGCTCACCACCGCCGCTCACCACCGCCGCTCACCACCGCCGCTCACCACCGCTACTCACCACCGCCGCTCACCACCACCGCCGCTCACCACCGTGTGTGCGTGTGGTCGTGTCGGTTTGCAGGTGGGCAGGCACGGCCACTCGTCGGTGGAGGACGCGCGAGCCACCATGGAGCTCTACCGCCTCGTGGAGACTCAGCTGGGAGCCACCGCCGCTCCCTGAGCCGCCACGGCGACGGCCCCCGTCGTCGTCGTCACGGCGACGGCCCCCGTCGTCGTCGCCACGGCGACGGCCCCCGTCGTCGTCGTCACGGCGACGGCCCCCGTCGTCGTCGTCACGGCGACGGCCCCTGTCGTCGTCGTCACGGCGACGGCCCCCGTCGTCGTCGTCACGGCGACGGCCCCCGTCGTCGTCACGGCGACGGCCCCCGTCGTCGTCGTCACGGCGACGGCCCCCGTCGTCGTCGTCACGGCGACGGCCCCCGTCGTCGTCGTCACGGCGACGGCCCCGTCGTCGTCGTCACGGCGACGGCCCCCGTCGTCGTCACAGTGACGGTCCCCGTCGTCGTCACGGCGACGGCCCCCGTCGCACCCTCCCCATCGTGAGAGACCATGAAGGAGAAGGGAGTGGAATGGAGTTCTGGTACCGCTCCCTCTGCGTTAGCCCCCCATTAGAAACCAACAACATCAACCACAACAACAACCACAACCACCACAATATCAACCACAACAATAGCGACAACAACAACAGCCACAACAACAACAGCCACCAGGCCAGCACCGATGACGTTCTCCCCCACGGCATCCTGGACGCTGATCCCACTCGGCGTTCATCACGGTCGTGGATAGGGGGAGGTGGAACTAAAACTAATAAACATAATTTTTTACTTTACTAAACTAAAACTCAACTATCATTATATTATCGGTTCGTTCGGTAAAGTCACGTAGAAGGGAAACAATAAAATAATAAAAATATAAAACAATAAAATTCTCACGACGTTTCGACTGCAGCACAAGCAATCATCATCAGGTGTGAAAACCACAGCAAGAAAATTTAAATAAAATAAAAAACCCGCCACTTTTAAAAATTTCTTGCTGTGGTTTTCACACCTGATGATGATTGCTTGTGTTGCAGTCGAAACGTGGTGATAATTTTATTGTTTTATATTTTTAATATTTTATTGTTTCCCTTCTACGTGACTTTACCGAAAGAACCAAGAATGTGAATCCCTGCAGTCACGAAAGCTTTAAAGCAAAATGTAAACTCTTTATATTTTACCAGGTAAGCCCCCCCCACTCAGCTGCTACGTAGCTCTTCTTCAGAGACGACCCTTGCTATCACAAATGATCGCTCAACAGAATCTGGGCTCATCATCAAGTGGAGTTTGATAGCAGGAGCCAAAAGCTGTCACCGCGTGACGCCGATTCTAAATGTGGAGGGGGAAACCGGAGAAAAGTCGACACGACCACGGGGAGAGAGGGAGATGCTCACTCCAAATATACAGCAAGCGTCAGGGTCGGGATTGAACTCACGACCTTCTGTATACCAGGCGAGGTAGTTAACATCTCCTAGCCACCGTGTTGATGATGATGAAACAGAGAGACGCTCACTCCAAATATACAGCAGCAGGCGTCAGGGTCGGGATCGAACTCACGACCTTCTGTATACCAGGCGAGGTAGTTAACTGTTTAACTAAAACTAAACTCTTATTTTGCCAGGTGAGATCCCGCTGAGCTACTATTTAGCTCGTCCTTAGAAGCGACCTGCCTCAACCAAGTGGGCTTATCACAATCGTCACCATCATAATGCTGAAATGTGTAGCAGCAGCCAAATTATTTTCTAAATTGGTGGTCGCCATCCAAATTTGATGATTCTTAGAATTGTTGGGTCAGGACGTTGTTCACAATTCTGGCTACTGCCTGGATTATGCTGCTTGTAACTACCAGCGAAACGTCGGACTAGCCACATGTCCAGTGTGTGTGTGGATCGCTGTCCAACATTGCCGACGGTGCTGCTGAAGGGGAAGTAATACATTGGCACGAATGATCATCGCGCTCCAACGTTATTCGTTGGCTGTGTCAGGTGGCAGAGGGTGTATGACACACGTTTTGCTCATGAGAGTAATATTTAAAATTGAAATGTTTTATTGTACAAATCTTAATGGTATTCTTTCAAATCCCCGACGCGGACATTTTTAGTAGCAGCCAAATTGCTCTGAACGCACGACGTTGATTTTGAATGTGGCGGGGACAAAACCAGAGGAACCCGGTGGAAAAAATCCACGGGACCACCACTCGCAAACGACCTCCTGTATGCCGGGCGAAGTCGGTAACATCTCCTAGCTACCGTGGCGCCCTCACGGGGACCACACGCTGGCTTTCTCCGCTGCCGTCAGGCCCGCTCGCTCGGTGTCGCGATCACGGCCGGGTTCTGGCTTCGTGAGTCTGTGGGCGGTATGTGTGTTTGTGTTGAACTTCTCTTGGATGTACCGTGTGTGTGTGTGTGCTGAACCGTACGTAGGCGACCGTGCTCTTCGGAGGTGCGGGTGGTGGAGGGTTTTTGGCTTTCCGACCAGCGCAGCCTCGCCCAAATTTGTTTTTATCGCGAGCGTGGAAACGGTTTGGCCCGTCGCGCGTGCGCGTGTGCCACCCTGTGCCACCACCCCTCCGCCTGTACCACCACCCTCCTCCTGCAACCTGTACCACCACCCTCTACCACCACTCTCCACCGCCTGTACCACCACCCTCCTCTGCCACTTGTACCACCACCCTCCACCGCCTGTACCACCATCCTCTACCACCACCCTCCTCCGCCACCTGGACCACCACCCACCCTCCACCACCTGTACCACCACCCTCCTCTGCCACCTCTACCACCACCCTCCTGTACCACCAAGGTGGTGGTGCTTGTGGTGGGGGTGGGTGGTGGGGGGGTGTGATGGGTGGTGACCTTGATGACATCAATGACCTCGTTGACATCGATGTCATCGATGACATCGCTGCCATCGATGACATCGCTGCCATCGATGACCTCTGACCTCTTTGACCTTGTTAATAGCGACGACCGATGACGCCATTCGAGGTGTCCTGGTGAACAAGGGGGGGGGGTGGTGGAAGTTCGGCCTCGTTAGCTGGGCTCGGCCGCGTGAATCGTTTTAATAACAATGTCGTGGTTGTGCTTTTAAACGCGTTCGTTGAACTCTGTCGGTAAACTGGGGGGCTTAACGATATTTGTCGTAGATAAACTTTTATTATTTTTCCTAATTTTACCAGTTGTAAGGCCCCCAGTGTGAACTATGTAGCTCTTTCAGAAGCGACCTGGCACATCGCAAATGAAGTGGCTCATCCTGTGGGACATCATAGCAGCTAAATTACTCTATAAACACATGATGTTGATTCTGAATGTGGAGAAAAATCTACGCGACCACGGGGAGAGAGACACGCAAACTCCAGATATACAGCAGCAGCAGCAGCAGGCATCAGGGTTGAACCCACGACCTCCTGCATACCAGGCGAGTCAGTCAACATCCTCTTGCTCTTGGCACGCGATAGTCGCCGACGACCGTCCAAAGTCACTTGGCAGTGACGTCCACTGAGACGGTTTGCTGATAAACAAAAATGAATGTGCATCGGCACGTTAAGGCGCCTTCACGTCAAGCCAACGTCGAGTTGATCGCAACGGCCGGGAACGTGGACCCTGTCGGTGCCGCTGAAAACGTCGCCAATAATAAAACGACGCAGGCTCGACGCGATGACGCGGCTGCGGCGTCTTGGTCAGTCGCGATGCGCCCATCGACATCCGCTCCTCCTCGCGTTTGCGGAGCGCACGCACGTGCGCTAGCAGAGCACCGCTCGTACCCCTGTACCCGCGAACATGAAAACCAATCGGCGTCGGGCAAACACGCGCAGGCGATGCGAGTCGTCGCCGCGGCGGCTCGGGCGGGCGAGTTGAAACGCAAACTTGCTAAACTACAAACTTTCAAAGATACAAACTTACTAAACTACAAACTTACTAAATTACAAACTTACTAAAGACTTACTAAGCTACAAACTTGCTAAGCTGCAAACTTACTCAACTGCAAACTTTAAAAGCTACCAACTTACTCAACTGCAAACTTACTAAACGACAAACTTACTAAACTTAAAGCTACAAGCTTGCTAAACTTACAAAACTACAAACTTTAAAAGCTACAAACTTACTCAACTGCGAACTTACTAAACTGCAAACTTACAAAACCACAAACTTACAAAACTACAAACTTACAAACTACAACCGTACAAAACTACAAACTAACAAACTTACTAAACTGCAAACTTAGTAAACTACAAACTTACCAAACTACTAACTTTCAAAGCTACAAACTTATTAAAATACAAACCTGCTAAAATACAAACTTACTAAACTACTAACTTTCAAAGCTACAAACTTACTAAACTACAAACTTGCTAAACTACAAACTTACTAAAGTACAAACTATCGAAGCTGCAAACTTACAAACTACAAACTTTCAAAGCTACAAACTTACAAAACTAGAAACTTACTTAACTACAAATTTCCAAACTACAAATGTACAAAACTACAAACTAACAAACTTACTAAACTACAAGCTTACTAAACTGTAAACTTACAAACTACAAACTTTAAAAGCTACAAACTTACTAAACTACAAACTTACTAAGCTACAAACTACAAACTTACAAGACTAGAAACTTACTAAACTGACAAACTTGCCAAGCTACGAACTTACTAAACTACAAACTTGCTATACCACGCACTTAAATACAAACTTACTAAACTAACAAACTTAATAAACTAACAAACTTAATAAACTTCGAACTTGATCAACTTACTAGCTTGCTAAACTACAAACTTACTAAACTACGAACTTACTAAGCTGTAAACTTTCAAGGCTACAAACTTTTTAAACTAACAAACTTACTAAACTACAAACTTGCTAAACTACAAACTTACTAACTACAAACTTCAAAAGCTACAGACTTACTAAACTGCAAGCTTGTACAGCTGCGAGCTTACTAAACTGCGAGCTTGCTAAACTGCGGACTTGCAAACTGCAAACTTTCAAAGCTACAAACTTAATAAACTGCAAGCTTCCTAAACTACAAACGTACTAAACTGCAAACTTATTAAACTACAAACTTTAAAAGCTGCAAACTTACAAACTTTCAAAGCTACAAACTTACTAAGCTACAAACTTACTAAACCACAAACTTGCTAAACTACAAACTTACTAACTACAAACTTCAAAAGCTGCGGACTTACTAAACTGCAAACTTGTACAGCTGCG